AGTGCTGTGCTTTAACCCGCTGCACCACCAGGGAGGGCCTTCTTCTTCTTTTTTAAAAATAATATAATAGTTTATTTTTACATCATTTTGTGCAACTTTCTGTCTCAGCTGTAATCCCCGTGAGCTTCCCATCACAAAATCACCCCCATGTGCCATCACCATAGTCCCATGCACTTCCCCCCCACTCTCATTTTTCATCCCGTTCCCCACTCCACCCCTGTAAAATGTCTCTGGTATATAGTTGTTCATTATTATTATGATTTTCTCCGTAAGTAAGAGCTTTAAGAACATTTTTGCTTTCCTGATAAAGACATAGGTCCAGCCTACTTCTTCCATTCTGGAACATGGCAGTAACACCTGGAGCTGCAGCGGCCAGATGATACACAGCTGGTGAGCCTTAGGGGACAGGTTGGGGACCTGGTGGGTCCATGGAGCCACCAAACCATAAATGCAAACCCTGGAATTCTTGCTGCATGAGGTAAGTCAACCTCTTTGTCTATACAACTCTAGTACATTCTCTGTTATTTGTAGCTAATCTCTTCCTGATACAGCTCACAATAGAATAAACTGAACTGGTGTTTCCGGGTCAGTGAACTCATCCACAGGCCAGAGGCTGGCCCAGCCCAGTTTCATGGGGACAGAAGCTCCTGCCCTGGGGACCCTTCCGGTCCTTGTCCCATAAACTTACATCTGGCTGTTCGTCGGTGTTCTTTCCAAGAGTTTACAATAAACTGATAGATGTAAAACAAACTTGCTTCTACGGGCAGATCTTACAATCCAGTCCGGGACATGACCACTCGTTCAGCATGTCAGGATTGCGGTCCAAATGACAGCTTCCCTCAGGTGGAAATGTATCAGAAGCCCCAGGCTTCCCTCTTAGCTCTTCACTGAGATTCTCCCCCTGCTCCCCAGCTGGGGCCACTCACAGAGGTGGCCAGGCTGCCCAGCAGGGTGGGACAGCCATGGTGATACCAGTAGCTGCCAGTCAGGCTTATCCGCCAGGCTGAACCCTGGCAGAGGGCATGAGAGCCAGTAGGTACCTATGAGATGTGGAGACCAGGTGAGAACCCACACTCTATAAAGAGGGAAATTCAGAACCAGCCATTTGGGGTTCAAGGAGCTACTGGTAATTTCACACGGCAGCTCAGTCATTTTTAAAGACTTTCCAAAGAGGTGCACATATTGGATTTTCTATTTTCTAGAAACAAACCTAGAGAGTAGAACATTCAGTGCAGAAACCAGGAAAGCTCCAAACTCAGCTCTTCAGAATTAGCCGACCCCAGGCTCCCCCTATCCCCCCCACCCGTGATCTGTGTGGTCAGCTGCATTAACATCTTCCTGCCAATAACTAAGCGACATGTGCTGGTGTAAAAATGTAGAACTTTCATTTTCATCCTACTTGTGCCTCCCCACAATCCTCAGAGGAAGCGGGGCCCTGACATCAGAGAAGGCCTATCATTGTCACTCGCAGAACTACAGGCCTCAAGGTGCTTATTTCTCCCATGTTACCGCGCTTGATTTTCTCATCTCTGAATATCACCATCCCTTCTCAAGAACTAAGTTCTGGGACAACCCTGGAGATGTTAGGCCACCCTGGGCTGGGTGTCCCCCTGGGAGTTACCAGTTCCTGGGGGCTGGCCTGAGGAGGCCAGGAGTCCCATCGAATCTGCTCAGGCCAGGACCAGACCAAGGGCCAGCCAGGACGCCTCCCTCCTCCTGAGGCCCGAGCTGATCCAGACCTCCCTCCAGGCACTCTGGAAGGGCCAGCTGGCTCTGGCATTTGCCCGGCTGCGTCTGCCAAATGGTCACATTATAGATTATAAATTGTCTTTTTAGCATCCGATTCCAAGTTTCTCTCTCCTTTCCCCATCACTCCTCACCTGACTTCTCCAGCACCAACTCTCCTCCTTTCTATCAACTCAGGGAGAGTCACCCTTCAAAGGACTACCCCTGAGGTCCTGCATCGCTGAGGCATTTCTTGTCCCTCCCCCCGCCACCCCAGGAAACCTGCATGGCTGGGAGGCGCTGGAGACATCGGTGACCCTGCTCTGCGGTATCATCATGGACCCTAAAATCCCTGGTCAAGTCATTTCTGATATTGCACAACAGCGTTTTCCAGTGTGCTTCCCAACTGATGTTGTTGGCCTGACACCGGCCTAGCCTCAGGAGGCAGGGCATGATGGGCAGAGGGTCACTTTGCAGATGAACAAACTGAGGCCCAGCACAGCTGAGTGGCTCATCCAAGTTTCACAGAGGAGCCCCCAACTTCTAGTCTAATTTGCCTTCCCTGGCTGACACTCTGGCTCCAAGACTAAAGAAGCAGATTAACAGTCTTCACATGTGTCTGAGCAATGTCAAGGACAGGATCTAAACAAATACCTGAGCCAGGGGAGTTAGGTCTCTGAAGGTCTGACGTGGACAAGGGTCTGCCCATGTCACATGACAGGACTTTCACCACTATGGCCTTTATTTCCCACTGCCTGTTCTCTTCTGCAGTTGAAAGAAAGCCAAGGGTGGTGATTCAGTGACCACAGGACCTTTGCTTCAGCAGACTGGGCAGTCACAGTGAAAAAAATACAAAAAGTCAAAGAATAATGGAGTGTGGGGGGGTGTTCCAAAGAAGGGTTTTCCTCACTCACAAGGTGCAAGGCAAGACAGCAGGAGGGACACGTGGCTGGAAGGGCCTGAGGAGCTTTGAAATAACATGGTAAGTGTAAAAGAAAAAGGAAAAAAAGAACCTCAGTGCACACACACATAACCAGCCACAAGTTTTGGAAATGAGGAAAACCATGGTGACTAGCTGGAGGGAACTTAGCCACCAACGCAGCTGAAAGCGCCACCTGCTCTGACTAACAGGTTCCAGCTACTAAATGTCACTTGCCTCTCACTAAATGTGACTTTTGCTTTCCCCCAGCTGCTAGAAACCATTTGGTGGCCAAACGAAGCCGCACATTAGGAAAAGAGCTGAGATGCTTCAGAGTTCGAGATGGCTCTAACTTTTTGGCTGACGCGTGAGAATGAGGAAGTTTAGGAGAGTCACGGTCAGGGCTTCCAGCCTCTGGTGCCGCTAGCTGGCCAGGTAAATGGGGGCAGGTGGCCACCTCCTCCCCTTTAGCAAGGGGCCCCTCTCCCTTGCATGCCACAATCCTCTCAGGAAGAAAGGGTGGGCTGGATGGCTTCTGAAAGGCTTCCTGAGAAGGCTGTGGTCTCTAAAGAGTCAGGCTTCATCCGTTTCTCTCCCTGGGTGTGGGCCCCCCAAAGGGGAAGTTTGCTCCCAAATTTGCAAACACAGCTACATGAGGTCAAAAGTAAAATACTTCAGGATACTGCGTCTTTGCCACCATCTGGTTAAAAATAGCCAAAAGCAGCTAATTTCTCCAGGTCCCTATGTTCTTAACAACTCCCAGAAAAGCTGAAAGGATTTTAAAAAGTCACACTAACCTATGGCTAATTATCCCGCCTGCAGCTGACTGCAGCCCCCTCCCTCCCACCGGTCTGGGACTCCCTCTGCCCCAGCAACAGCTCAGCTGTGAGGGTTCAGGGGGGTGACTGGGTCACGGTGAGCCTTAGCAAGCCCAGGTAGCAAGCCCAGGTCGCCAACGTTCCTCTATTTATAGGGTATCTATGGAAACAGGGCCAGCGTCGGAGTGCTAATCACTATCGAAATCCAGAGTCCTACCCTGGGACACAAAATGGATGCAGAAGTCTCCAGTTACCCTCCAGAAGCTTTAGGTGGAGGACCTGGGGGAGAAGCAGGAGAGGAACCGCCAGGTTGGGCCCTGAGGCCACAGTGGTGGAACAGGGGGACAGACCAGTTGCCACTGTTCAGGCCTGTTTGGGGTTTCTATTGGAAACAGAGTGATGAAAGGTCTTCGGAATCATCTTCTGCTCCCTCAGCATCACAGCTGACATTG